GAAGATTTTGAGGACGAGGATGATAGATACTCCTCAAATTTCATCTGATCGAACTCATATTCAATCTCTTCGTTAATCACAATCTTGATCGGCTATGACACGATGGTCTCGGCAGCGAGACCGTTGGCTCCCACTATGGTCGCTAATTTGGTTTCATCGAAAGTCGATCTCATTGAGGAATCCATTAAACTTTAGTTGTTTTACAATGAATTACAATGAAAGTAAGAAAATTACAAGTTTCTAGAAAATAACACAAAAATCATTTATCGACTTCTGTTTTTGTGGGGACTTTGCCTGTGCCGGGAGTGCGTTAGCTCATGGACCACCAATTCACAGATTATGATTGAATTGTGAAGACTTTGGGTATTCTTTCTTCGTTTAGAAGCAAGAATGAAATCAGTGAATATCTTATCGAAGTAAGACGAACACTCTTCTCAAGGTCAAGTCAAAGCTTAGATCTTAAGGAATCGCTAAAAGCTCAAGTTTTTCTGCTCTATCTGCTCTCTGTGCTCTGATCCTCCTCAGTGATGGTTCTAGGGGGTATTTATAGCCCTCAGGAGAGTTTAACTAAACATAGAACATCATGGGGTAGTTACTCTTGCGAGACAGTTGGGACTGTCTCGGCGGGCGGGGGAGGGGTGACTGTCTCGGAAAACCTGAATTTTTAGGCAGTTTCTTTTGTAACCGCTCTCCAATGTTTTAAACTCTATTATTTTAGTAGTTATCAACGTGATTCTCGTCCGTAACGTTTCTCACGTTCTTTAACAGTCAGTGGCCATGTGTCTGCATTTGCTTCAGCGGTTTCTGACCTGTGCAGAACTATCACGCGTACGAGACAGTCAACACTGTCTCACGTGCGAGACATGTTAGATATAGGTACCCTGCAGGAAATAATTGTATATTGTAACAGGACCTATATGAATATAACATCCTTGTTCAAAATAATAGTATGCTATTTTGGTCAGATTTATCTGGTATTTTCATACAGATAAAGTCCTTAGAATGATACCAGACTATCAGACATTTCGGATATGATCATAATGAAGAGATCTGATTTGTTGTTAACGTATATTCTAAAATGTTCCTAGTCAATAAAGTGTTGAAATGAGACATCATCACTTTGAGAAGACTAGTGTATACTCTATTTCTCCTTTGGTAGGATGATGATCCATCTCTTGGATCATTGATGTGAGACATCAAGATATAGTATACAGGTGACTTATTAATGAATGAGTTGACTGAACGACTCACTGAGAACATCTAGTTGGTAATTATACTTAACTGTCAAATAGAAGTTCTCAAGTGATATAGTACATAGTAGTCTCTTGACCTAAGGCGTGAGTGTAATATCTTACATGTCAGTATAGGTGTACTTAGATTTTTACCTAACCACAGTTCTCATCGAGTTGTGCATAACGGTTCTTGTTGGGTACATCCCGAGGCATAAGTAGATATTGAGATGCCAATATGAGATTCGTCTCTCCCAGTATAGGGTGTTAATGTCATAAGACTATTTGATATAACTATAACCTAGAAATCCTTGGCCGAGGTAAATAAGATAAACTGAGTGTCAATTTGATCTTATAGTTTATGAGTTTAATATCAACAAAGACTAATTGAGCAATTAGGGTTTGACAGTTTTTCATACCCTAGGCTCAATAGTTTGACATAGTTTGACGAAGAGATCGGACTGTACGGCATTATCACTGAGTGATCCTGATAAAATTGGATAAGCATCTTGCAAACCTTTATCACAACTCATACCCGGATAGTCTTCATGTGCAGTTAGCACCTCTGTTGTACTTGTGGATATGATCCACTACCGAGTTTTTGAGTTGGGCCCTAGAGTCACACCAACCACGTACTTGAATCCTATGAAACACAATTTATAAAGTGATGCGTATGATTGATACGCATATATGATTTTTTTACCGGATACACATAAACAGTTATGTATATCGGTAAAATCAGAATGCTATGTGCTTAGGAAATGAATTCCAGTATTTTTCCCATAAAGTTAACTTTTAGTCAACTAGTTGACTTTTTGGTTAACAGTTGACTTTTGGTCAACTCTTGATTTATTTGGTCATATAGTGACTAATTAGTTAAAGATTGGAATAATATTATATACCGTATTTATGAAATACTATATTAGTAATAATAATTTGGTATTCTCATTTATGAAATACACGTACCATGTATAATGAGTCATGAGATGAGTCACTTAGTGGTATGGTTTGAGCACATGGTTTATTAGCACATGGTTTTGAAATGTAATAATTTATAAGATAATTCATTGCATGACTCACTTGATTAATCATTAATTTTTGATGATTCATTGCGTAACTCATAGGATGAGTCATTCATATCATGAACACATTTCACCCTATAAATATGAGCTCTCTCTCTCTTCATGAAAGGCTAATGAAAATTCAATTTCCATAAGAGAAAACAAGAGAGCTATAGCTCTTACTAAACTCTAGCAATCTTTGAGTAAGAGGAAATAGTAGAATTTTAAGAACCCCGGGGTGGATATCTTGCCTCGCGTCTCAAGCAGCATCCAATAGCTTTCGAGTTTACTTAAAGAGTTGGAGATCCACTACGAGGATTTTTCTGTATCAAAGAGAGCAAGCTAAAGGTTGTTCGATTCACTATCGAATCACGCTACAAAAGTATGACTTTCAAACCACTATCGAATCACGCTACAAAAGTATGACTTTCAAACCTTGTATGCTCTCTTAACAATAAGAATCATGTTAGATTTAATTAGACGGTCCATATGAATATTTCATACTCTCTACATGCTTAGTATTTTTTTTCATACATGTCTTCAGCTATGTATTATGCATGTAGAGATAGCACGATTTCCTTTATGGTATCAGAGCCATGGTTCCATCTAATTGAATCTTAACATGTACATCTAATTCATGGAGGACCTTATTCTTGCTTCTAATTTCTAGTTTAGATGAAACTAGTTAATTAATTCAAGTTATTTTGTAATAAGTTATACAAGTTGTTGATTCAAAAAAAATATGATTTTTGGTTCATAAGTTTTTAGGAGTAAAACAACACTTGTATAAATTGTAAAATAATTAATTACAACTAGTGTAGTTGTATGTTAGAAGCTTGTTAGTCATATTTGGGTTTGGATAATCCTTATGCTATATAGTTTCCAATATGTTGCATAACTAGATAGATGCATATTTCTTAATGTTGATTATGTTATATGATTTATCATCTTGCGTGGATGTTATGTTTATGGATGGTAGTGGACAACTATTCTCTTGCATGTTTTGTATTTATGTAATAAAGTTAGAAATATAATAATTATTTACGACCTCTTCCCTCCCCGAGCATAGGCTACGCCTACGGGTTTAGGTACTTGCTCACCGATCATGGGCTACGCCTACGGGTATAGGCCCTTGTTCGGGTGTGGGGGGATATGGTTGCTTAGTTTAGTTATTTCATTTATAGCTTTTTCTTTATATTTAATGCAATATTATTACCCATCCTACGAGATGGTTTTTCCATTATAAATGGGGCTTGCACGTCCTATGTTTATATGATTGTAATAATACAGAGTTTGCAAGGGAGTAAGCACCGCAAGGAGTTGCATATGGCTTGCTAAAATGTAATTAGTGTAGTTGCATTTTATTTTCTTTAGTTTTCCACTACCATTCTATATAAGTTTTACATTACATATAATAATATGTTAGTTGTACCCTAATTGTAGATGTCAATATAATTGGGTGCTATATTCTGTAAAGTTTATATCTCTATCTCACTAGAGAATAGTTTTTATTATAAAAACTTATTTTTAAACTTTGTGAGACATGACAATAAGAGTTTATTGACCATAGAGTGGTGAGACCGACATTAACATAGCGTTAATGTGAAAGATAAATAAACCTAAAGCAGTTAAAAGAGATGTATTTAAAACGAACTTTTAACTAGTGTCTAGGAAAGTAATTATGAGATATAGTTCATGGGGTGATGCCCAACTTAAGATTAGGGGTGATGCCCGATCTTTCGCGCTATAGTCTTAAAGAGCTGTGGTTACTTAATTAAGGTCCGATGAATATTCCCGGTGAATATCTCGGAACCCTCCCACCAATCTTGTACTTACCTGGCTAGTTTAATTGTTGCAAGTATAAATATAAAGCATCTTTAAACTATATCAAGTTTGATTACGGTAAAAGATTTATGAAATCATCCGTAGCCCTCCATCATTTTAATTGAATACTACTAAGCTTATAAATAGTTTGTTGGCTATCGTCAAGGCAATACTATTCTATGGCTAAGTAGTATTCATCTGTATATAAGATATAAGGATAGCTTAAGTTGGTTATGCAACTTTGTTAGCCTTCGTCAAGAGTATGCATAAGTTAAATTTAAGCCGGTCAAGAAATGATGGGTCCAAACTTAACTAGCATTTTACGATTTGTTGGCCATCGTCAAGGTCATAAAAAACTAGGGGCGAAATCATATCAAGAATTACAAAATTGTCTACCAATTATTGAGTATATCGATTTTTTGGCCATCGTCAATGTTGATACATTCAATGATAATTAGATCTTGATCCTACTTGAAAACAAGGGGTTGTTTTCTGATCACCTCTTATAAAGGTTTTGAGGGACTCGGAAAATAGTGGGAAGCATAACTTAGATAAAAATGAACTGAATCTATTTTATGTATTGAACATATTGAACATTTGCTAAAATATTTTTTCCCTCTTTCAGGCCATTATGTCTGGCTTAAAACTCATACTATAACAGAACAAGTTAACTGGTCCTAACTACAAAGACTGGTTGAGGAATGTTAAAATTGCCCTAACTTATGACAAAGTAGCATATGTCCTCACAACACCGGAACCCGTTCTAGGCCCAGAACCCACTGTAGCGGATAATGAAATCCGCATAAAGTGGGATAGAGATTGTTCACTTGCTCAATGTCTCACAATTGCCTCTATAGATTTGGTCCATCAGAGGCAACATGAGATTATGGATGTCAGATCCATATTTCGTAATACAGAACAACTGTATGGCGAGCAACCGCAACAAATGAAGTACGCGGCGTCTAGGAATTTGTTCCAGACGAAAATGACTATGGGATCTTCTGTTAGGGACCACGTCCTCAAAATGATCGCCTATGTCAATGAGCTTGAACTTTTGAACACAGGCCTAGATGCAAATAGATATACAAATATCATTCTGCAGTCCTTAACACCAGCCTACTCCCGATTCATATCACAGTTCTTGATGAAGGATCTGGAGCCCACTCTTCCTGCCTTGCTTAATTTGTTAAGACAAGAGGAGAGTTCTATGAAAAAGGGACAAACACCAGCCTTGGTTATAGGAAAATCTTTTTCCACTTCTAGCAAACTGGTTGCCAAGAAAAAGGGAATGAAGAAAACTATTAAACCAAAGAAAGGTGTTAAGAAGGGTGTCAAGAAGGACAAAGGGAAGGCAAAAATGATGACTGCAGAATGCTTCCATTGTCACAAGTCAGGACACTAGAAAAGAAACTGTCCTGAATTCCTAGCCTCACTCATCAAGAAGAAGCAAGTTGTTGCTTCATCTTCAGGTGTGTTGGTTACTCAGAATTGTTTTTTTTATAAATCCTACATCTTGGATATTAGATACCGGATCAGGATCTCACATCTGTAATTTGTTACAGGGGCTGAGAAGTTATAGAAAGCTTGATGCTGGAGAGATGACCCTACAAGTTGGTAATGGTGCAATAGTTGCAGCAGTTGCAGTTGGGGATTTTCATCTAGCTTTACCAAATGGAAACATTTTGATTTTGAATAGCTGCTATTTTGTACCAACTATGATGTGTAATATAATATCCATATCTTTATTAGATAAAGATAGATATATGTTCAAGTTGGAGAACAATGTTATGAATATCATATATAATCAAAAGTTGGTTGCTTATGGAACATTGTGTAATGGCATCTATATTCTTAATCAAAATACAACTATGAATACTCATCATGCTTATAAAAGAAAGCACTCAGTTATGAACGACGCTTTCTTATGTATTGTAGACTTGGTCATATTAATAAAGAAAGACTTGGAAAGCTACATAAACATGGATATTTAGATCTATTTGACTTTGAGTCTTATGATACTTGCAAGTCCTGTCTTAAAGGCAAAATGACCAAGACTCCATTTACAGGAACTAGAGCAAGAGTCACAGAACTCTTAGGACTGATACATAGTGATGTATGTGATCCTATGTCTACAATTGCTAGAGGTGGCTACTCCTACTTTATTACTGTTACTAATGATTTTTTAAGATTTGGACATGTGTTTTTGATGAAACACAAGTCTGAAGCATTTGAGAAATTTATCGAGTATAAAAATAAAGTAGAGAACCAAATGAGCAAGAAAGTTAAAATTCTTCGATCAGATCAAGGAGATGAATACTTAAGCTTGGAATTCTTAGGTTTTTTAAAAGAGAATGGGATTCTCTCTCAGGTTACTCCACCCTTTACACCACAGCTTAACGGCGTGTATTCTCTCTCAGGTTACTCCACCCTTTACACCACAGCTTAACGGCGTGTCAGAAAGGAGGAATCGTACCCTATTAGATATGGTACGTTCCATGATGAGTAACACTGAGTTACATTTTTTAGATATGGTACATTCCATGATGAGTAACGCTGAGTTACCTTTTTTATTCTGGGGGTATGCGTTGGAAATAGCAGCACACTTACTGAATAGGGTTCCAACTAAAGCAGTGCCTAAACCTCCATATGAAATATGGTATGGGATGAAACCACATCTTAATTATATTAAGATTTGGGGATGTCATGCTTATGTAAAAAACAAGATCCTAAAAAGTTAGAGGCACGTTCAGTATTGTGTAAACTTGTAGGATATCTAAGGAATTCCCATGGATGTCAATTCTGCCACACCGATGAACAAAAGATAATTGTTTCTCGGTATGCTACCTTCTTGGAGAAGGAATTTCTTAAAAAAGAAATTAATGGGAGCATGGTAGAACTGGAAGAAATTTCAGAGATATAAATCAATACTGATAATTTAGTAGAAACAGAAAATTCAGTTGTACCTGAAGAACCTTAACCACTCCGCAGATATCCAAGGCGATCTCATGCACCTAAAAGATAATATGATTTTCTCATTGAAGGTAGCATGTTAGATCACGTCATAGATGATAACGAACCATTGAGTTATCAGCAAGACTCTTAGAGTAGGGACTATGTTGCTTGGCATGATGCAATGAAATCCGAAATAGACTCTATGTACACCAATAAAGTATGGATCTTAGACAATGCTCCTAAAGGGGTGATACTCATAGGTTACAAATGGTTGTTTAAGAAAAAGATGGGTGTAGATGGGAAAGTAGAGACTTTTAAAGCTAGACTAGTAGCTAAAGGTTTTCGTCAAAGATCTAGTTTGGACTATGATGAAACCTTTTTTCCAGTGGCTATGCTAAAGTCTATTCGGATCCTACTTGCTATAGCTGCTCACTATGACTACGAGATCTAGCAAATGGATGTCAAAACTGCATTTCTAAATGGTGATTTAGAAGAGTACATATATATGTCTCAACCAGAGGGATTTGTAGTCAGTGGGAGCAGTGAAAAAGCATGTAGGTTGCTTAAATCCATTTATGGACTGAAGCAAGCATCACGGAGATGGAACATCTGTTTTGATGATGCTATCAAAGAGTTTGGTTTTATCAAAAATCCAAATGAACCATGTGTGTATAAAAGGATAATTGGGAGTATAGTATCGTTTCTTATTTTGTATGTAGACGATATACTCTTAATTGGTAATGACATACCATCATTACAAGCGGTAAAAATTTGGCTATCAAAAAGATTTTCCATGAAAGATTTGGGTGAAGCATCATGTATACTGGGTATTCAGATTTATAGAGATAGATCTAAAAGGATATTAGGATTATCTCAATCTAGATACATTGGCAAAGTGCTAAAATGGTTTAGCATGGAAAATTCTAAGAAAGGTTTCATACCTGCATCTCCTGGAATCTCCCTCTCTAAAAAGTTGTCTCCCCAGACTGATGAAGAGAGAAAACGCATGAGTCTAATTCCTTATGCCTCGGCAGTAGGATCAATCATGTATGTCATGTTATGTACTAGATCGGATATCGCTTATTCACTCAGTATGGTAAGTAGATACCAATCTAATCATGGAGAAGATCATTAGAAAGCAGTCAAAATATACTTAAGTACCTGAAAAGGACTAAAGAGTTATTTTTGATATACGGTAAAAGTGACCTTTAAATAAAGGCTTTTTCTGACTCAAGCTTTCAGAGCGATATCGATGATAGTAAATCTATTTCAGGATATGTTTTTACCCTCAATAGAGGGGCCGTCAGTTAGAAAAATTCCAAATAGGACAGAGTAGCAGACTCTACTATGGAAGTCGAATACATTGCGGCAAATGATGCAGCCAAAAAAGATGTCTGGATGAGGAAGTTTCTTTCAGAGCTGGAGTTGTTCCCACCATTAAAGATCCAGTATCTTTATACTGTGATAATAATGTTGTAATAGCTCTGACAAAGGAACCCCGATCTCACCATAAGTCCGGACACATTCTGAGGAAGTATCACTTGATCAGGGAGATAGTTGATCGCCAAGAGATCAAGATTGAAAGAGTAGACACAAAAGATAATATTGCAGATCCATTCACAAAGGCAATTGCTCGTACACAATTTAAAAAACTTGTTGAGTTATTGGGTATTAGATACTACAATGATTGGCCTTAGTGCAAGTGGGAGTTTGGTAGATATAGGTGCCCTACAGGTAATAATTATATATTGTAACAGGACCTATATGAATATAACATCCTTGTTCAAAACAATAGTATGCTATTTTGGTCAAATTTATCTGGTAATTTTTATACAGATAAAGTCCTTAGAATGATACCCGACTATCAGATATTTCAGATATGATCGTAATGAAGAGATCTGATTTGTTGTTAACGTATATTCTAAAATGTTCCTAGTCAATAAAGTGTTGAAATGAGACATCATCACTTTGGAAAGACTAGTGTATACTCTATTTCTCCTTTGGTAGGATGATGATCCATCTCTTGGATCATTAATGTGAGACATCAAGATATAGTATACAGGTGACTCATTAATGAATGAGTTGATTGAACGACTCACTGAGAACATCTAGTTGGTAATTATACTTAACTATCAAATAGAAGTTCTCAAGTGATATAGTACATAGTAGTCTCTTGACCTGAGGCGTGAGTGCAATATCTTACATGTCAGTATAGGTGTACTTAGACTTTTACCTAACCATAGTTCTCATCGAGTTGTGCATAACGGTTCTTGTTGGGTACATCCCGAGGCATAAGTAGATATTGAGATGCCAATATGGGATTCGTCTCTCCCAATATAATGGGTTAATATCATAAGATTGTTTGATATAACTATAACCTAGAAATCCTTGGCCGGGGTAAATAAAATAAACTGAGTGTCAGTTTGATCTTATAGGTTATGAGTTTAATATCAACAAAGACTAATTGAGCAATTAGGGTTTGACAGTTTTTCATACCCTAGGCTCAATAGTTTGACATGGTTTGACGAAGAGATCGGACTGTACGGCATTATCACTGAGTGATCCTGATAAAATTGGATAAGCATCTTGCAAACCTTTATCACAACTCATACCCGGATAGTCTTCATGTGCAGTTAGCACCTCTGTTGTACTTGTGGATATGATCCACTACCGAGTTTTTGAGTTGGGCCCTAGAGTCACACCAACCACGTACTTGAATCCTATGAAACACAATTTATAAAGTGATGTGTATGATTGATACGCATATATGATTTTTTTACCGGATACACATAAACAGTTATGTATATCGGTAAAATCGGAATGCTATGTGCTTAGGAAATGAATTCCAGTATTTTTCCCATAAAGTTAACTTTTAGTCAACTAGTTGACTTTTTGGTTAACAGTTGACTTTTGGTCAACTCTTGATTTATTTGGTCATATAGTGACTAATTAGTTAAAGATTGGAATAATATTATATACCGTATTTATGAAATACTATATTAGTAATAATAATTTGGTATTCTCATTTATGAAATACACGTACCATGTATAATGAGTCATGAGATGAGTCACTTAGTGGTATGGTTTGAGCACATGATATAGCTCATATTTATAGAGTGAAATGTGTTCATGACATGAATGACTCATCCTATGAGTCATGCAATGAATCATTAAAAATTAATGATTACAAGAGAGCTATACCTCTTACTAAACTCTAGCAATCTTTGAGTAAGAGGAAGTAGTATGATTTTAAGAACCCCGTGGTGGATATCTTATCTCGCATCTTAAGAAGCATCCAATAACTTTCGGGTTTACTTAAAGAGTTGGAGATCCACTACGAGGAGTTTTCTGCATCAAAGAGAGCAAGCTAAAGGTTGTTTGATTCACTATCGAATCACGCTACAAAAGTATGACTTTCAAACCTTGTATGCTCTCTTAACAATAAGAATC